CCTGCCGCCCGCTGCTTCCCTCAGCAGTGTACTTCGCCGGTCTGCCTGTTCTGTTTCCCGCTCTGGCTCTGATGAATTCTCTCACCCTCCCACGCTTCTGACTGTACCCAGTGCTTGTATAAATAAATAAATGAATCTTAAAAAAATAAATAAATAAATAAAAGACACAAATTCATTTCTGGGGAAGAATGAATGCTGGGATTAGGAACTGAAGCTTACATACTACTTCTAACCTCAAGACAATAGAGGGGAAAGTGTGGAGAACAATTGTAGCTGTGCAAGAACAATTCTACCAAAGCAGATAATTTAATACAACCTGCTTGCAAATTAGGTTGTACAGGGTGAAAGTTTAGTCTTAGTCCAGACTAGTCACTGGTAGAAAGCAGGGCTTTACCATAAACCTATCACTTAAGTTTTTTCTCTGATAAACAAAAATGAAGATAACTGCAGAAATAGTATCCAAGCTCTAATTCTACATTATGAACAAACACATAAAAAAAAGGGAAAAGAAATGTACATGTTTACCCAGTGTTAATATGTTTTACAAACCACACTTCACTCTTATCTGTTGTGGTTTATCTGCCTCTGATATTACTTCTCTCTTTGCTAAAAGAGCCTTGTTCAGGGACCCAGCATCCCTAGTATACTTGTAGATGACATCTTAGAATGACTATTTGCTATATTTTTCAGTACTGGACTGGTTTCTCAGAAGGTTAAAAGCTCTAAAATGTAACTAAAGGATAATTCAGAGAAGGAAGTTATTCTTTGTTTCTTCCTGAAGTAACTCAGTAATATAAATTTAGTCAAGACAACAGATTTTTTTTTTTAATAGAGAGAGGTGGGGACAGAGAAAATTCAGACTTTGTAAATGTCTGGGATCTGCAATTACCTTCTTTTCTGATAAAAGAAAGAGTCTAACTTTAACCAAACTCAATTTACCCTCCCCCAATGTCACGGTTGGGTAAAAGTTATTTCTCATTTATAGAATAGCCAAAAACTCTCCTGTCACTCTTGCAGTAAACTTTAACTCCTTTTATATTTCTTTAGTAAATCTTGTTCTTATTTCTCTGACCACTTGAACTAATCAGAAGAGTTTTCAGGTGAGTTGTAGAGTGGTATCAAGGAGGGCCAACGATTAAGACAGTTTATCACGCAACGTGTCCAATCTGGGACTGGGTATGAGGGACATCATTGTCTCCCCTAACACCTAAGGAAATGGATGGTGATAGGAAAAAAGGAGAGAGGGGCCCCAGATATTCACATCAAATACTAAGTGTTTCAGTGACAAAATATTGGTGAAAACCCAGGAAGATACTCGGAAAGGAGGAGAAAAATGCACAAAAAATTACACTCTTGCTTCTGAAGGAATTAGGAATTTAGGATTCCTAAATATGAAATATATAAAAGAAGAAATGGATTTGGCATAATTTAGTTTTTAAAAAAGTAAGCATTGAGCATCTACTCTATACTTAGTACTGCCCTAGAGTAAATGAGATATTCAAAGGAGACATCAATCTTGGTTCTTGTCATTATCCCCTGGGGAAGCAAAAGATAGGCACTTATGAGAGTAAGAGAAGAATAAGGTGGGACTGAATTCTAGTTAGGTTCTCCAGTTGAGGAATACACACACACACATGCACACACACAGAGAGAGAGACAGATAGAGAGAAAAAAAGGTTGAGAAGAGAGTTATGGTTTCCCTAATCCATGCTTTCCATCAGACTGTTCAGCCCTTTGCTTTCATATTAGGTCCTAGATCTCCTTCCTGATGTTCAAAGCCCTAGTTGATCTACGCAAATGTTTGTACCTCAACATCCTCAGCAACCAGTCTGCTTCCACCCTGTTCATCTTGCTACAGCTGATCTTTCTTCCCAGATGATCATTTTGAAGGCATACTTGATGCTGTCGCTGTACACTCTTTTTTAAAAAAAAAAGTTTGTTTATTGTGTAGAAGAACTGGGCTGTAATCCAGAGGTGCAGGGGGTGAGAGGATTCACCAGAGCCAGAGCAGGGAACAGAACAGGCAGACTGATGAAATACACTGCTGAAGGGAGCAGCGGGCGAGACAGGAGAGGTCTGCTGCACCATGTGGGTAGCTCCCTGGCCGGGGATCAAACTCAGGCCTTTGCAGTGATAGCACTGAGACTTAACCCCTAGGCCCCCAGGGAGGCCCACTGTCTGTTCTTTACTTGACCCAGCAGCTGATGCATATCAGGAAGTGGTTATTACCCAGGTGCCTTTTGGATCTCCTGGCTTGAACATCTAGGCTCTTTCCAAATACTTGACACTCAAAATGGTGAAAAGACATTGAATGTGTGTGCATGTGTGTGTGGGTGGGGGAACTGTTGGTCTTCACTTTTGGGACTATCCTTTTTTCATGATATTATACTCTGGAATTGTTCTTACTGTTCTAAATACTTTGAGCGCACAAATTCAAAGGAGAGAAAGTGAATTTCTAGTTTAAGAAGCACTAACATTTCTTCCTCTCATTCTCAAACATCTAGTGAACATGACATGGAATCTTTACCCTTCTTTTCACCAAAAAGACCTTTGAATGGAAAATTATGTGACATTTTCCCCCAAGCATGTTTACTTCAAGTTTCTAGAATTTGATGAACATGGAAAATAAATGGAACCCAGAAATATATGTATTAAATTTATATACATTAAAAACAGTTCTTTCAACAGAAATAAATAGAGCACAAACCACATGTGTGATCCAAGAGTTTCTGGAAGCCACATTTAAAAAGCTAACAGGAAACCAGTAAAATTAATTCTTATAATTTAGTTAACTCAGTATATCCCCAAATAGTATCATTTTGACATATAATCAATATAAAATGGGGCCTCCCTGGTGGTGCAAGGAGTTAAGAAGGCTGATCAGCCAGGGAGCTACCCACATGGCTCAGCAGACCTCTCCTGTCTCACCTGCAGCTCCCCTCAGCAGTGTATTTCAGTAGATCTGCCTGTTCTGTTCCCCACTCTATCTCTGGTGAATCCTCTCACCACCCGTACCTCTGGCCTATACTCCAGCTCTTGTATGCATAGATAAATAAATCTTTAAAAAAAAATAAAATGAAATAGTATATATTTGGTTGTTTTCTTCTAAAAAATTTTAGTATTTTTAAAGATTTATTTAATTATGCATATAAGAACTGGGGTACAGGCCAGAGGTGAAGAGGGTGAGAGGATTTACCAGAGGCAGAGTGGGGAACAGAACAGGCAGACTGACTGAAATACACTGCTGAGGGGAGCAGCGGGCGAGTCAGAAGAGGTCTGCCACGCTATCTGGATTGCTCCCTGGCTGGCCGGGGATCGACTTGTGCTGCAGAGGCTGCAGACAGCTTCATAGTGCAGTGTTTAACCTCTTGCTCCACCAGGGAGGCCCCCAAATATATGCTATTTTAAATGCTTGGAAATGACAATCCTGCAGGCCATTGTTTGTTTTTAAACATCTTTTTATACATTTTATTTTTGTCTTCCCCGTCAAACACTGAGCCAACCACATTCCTCAGGCTGCCTGGGACAGTGGGTGGGGGTACAAGAAAAGGTGCAGGGCAGATGAGATATGGAAGAAGGAACTATGGGAGGTGGAGACAGCTCCTTCACATGGTGAAAAAGAGAAAGCACACCATCAAGCAAAAGAACCCATAGCCTTGGAGAGGCTCAAGCTCTGAATGGCAGAGAAGAGCTGTTGCTCCAGAGAAGTGTTCCTGGCATAACCAATGATGAGGCTCCCAAACCCCAGACCCAATTCCAGCCCAAGAACCAGCCACCCCTACTCTGCAGCCCCAACCCCAGTGAACTTGGCTGCTGTGTCGATGTCCCTTGAAATGGCGTGGTTTTGGAAGCTGCGGCTAGGCTAGGAACAAGTGAGTTCAGTGGATGTGGGCTGCCAAGTTGCCGAGGCTCTCATCTGTCAGTGTCCCTGGTGGATTCAACACAACAGCAGACACTGATCTACTCAGCAGCTGAGAGGCACTCCCCACCAAGGAGGGGGTGGAGACCAACTTGGCACAGTCATGCATTTTCAGGGGATGAGGGGATGTAGCTGGAGAGCTGCTTCCAGTGCACAGAAGACAGAGAGGGGCATGTAGGCCATTGTTAATGCCTGCCCCACAGCCAGCCTGTTTTCTACTCAGCTGTATCTGCATCCTCAGGGAACTCAGAGGGAGAGGTCTGGAGGTCAAATGGCAGTCGCTTCTTGCAGTGCCTGCCTCCAGGGAAGGTGCTTCTCCATTTCCCAGCCTCCATTCCACCTACATCAACTCCTGCAGGCACCCGAGCACCCATGTTGCTTTCCATGATTAATCTCAAAGGCCTTGAAATAACTAAGCGACCTTTTGTCTTCCACTCTGCACATTTTGCAGTGCTTTATATTCTGAGCCAAGCCTGAGCTGAATGCAGGGAAAATGACCATTTCAAAAACTGAAAATGAGACCAAAAGGAAGAGAGTATTACTTCCAATAATGAGGACATTTGGAAGTATACTGAATAGGGCGCAGCTTTGCACCTGGATTGATGGGAAAGCAAGGAGATGTGTCATTACAAAAAGCAACATAAACCTTTGATTTGCATTTTGTTTTCAATCGGGAGAGAATAGTTATGATTCTCTAAGGATATAATTGAGACCATTTTGCATCAAAGGACTTAGGTCAAGGTGATAATAAATCTCACTGCAATGAGCGCTCTGAGTACTATTTCAATCTACATAAAATTCTACCTTAGAGGCTGAGGTTTTGGAGCTAATGCTGAGATGCCCAGTCACCATACTCAGACTTTAATAAAAATTTATTTTGTCTCCTTTTTGATCATCAAGTCCCCTCCCTTCACATCATGTAAACTGAGTTCCCTGAGATACAAATAAAGTAAAAGGAAACAAGATCAGTGGAGAGAAAAATAGTGCCTACGTACATGTGTCTGATCATAGATCAAAGTTAAAAATAGACCACACTCTATATGTGTGTGCACATGCATGTGCATGTGTGTATGTACTTTTTTGTCCTTTCAGATGCCTTCTTTGCCCTTCTCCACCTGCCCTGTGCCCTAAGAAACCAACCCAGATGTATTACACTATGGGGTTCCTTTGCCCGTGGTGGCCTGTTACGTTCAGTTGATGGGTTACTGCAAAAGACAGGAGGGAGGAAGGAGCATGAGGTTGGGGTATTTATTCACTTAGCTTGCTAGCTATAGAGTCTCTGTAGGCTGGCTGCATCCCTTAACATCACAGCTTCTGTCACACAGCCTCCTCCACACGGCTCTGTCACCAGCTCTCCCTGTGCAAATGAGGCGTAGGGTTGGTGATGGCAGCAGCTTCTAGGAGGAACAGTATTTGTTTCCCTGTACCCAGTCCACACCTTTGCAATTAATTAGTCCCTTTATTAGCTATTCTCCAAACACCTAATTTGAGTTTAATCTACTCTTTCCTTCTGAGACCTTGACAGATAAAATAGATATGTATACATTTCTTGCTCCAGAAACAATAGTCCTTATCTTTATTAGCATTAAATGCCCTGAATTTTTTCCCATTGCCCAGAATTTTAGGTCAGTTCCCTAAATCAGACCCTGAGATAAGGATTGTGCTCAAGATTTTTATTAAAGAGCTGCTCCCAGGAGAAACCTGCAGGAGAGGGTGTTGGAGGAAGAAGGGGGAGGAGTAAAACAAAGAAAGCAGAAGAGAGGAATCTAGTCAAGGGCACAATCTCTGGAAAAGCTCCTTGAGTGCAGTTCTGGAGCATGAACTAGGAACTACAGCTCACTTTGCAGACTTGAATCAGAGATGCTGGGCTTTCCACTTCCTGTACCAGCAAGTCAGGGACACAAGGGCATCCAGGCAGAGCACCATGGATTTATACTTCACATATATCCCTTGTAATTTGGTGTTTTTATGGAGAGAGGGGGCACACCGATTGTTAATTGGCTGAATAAGTCACCTCCAAATTAAAAAAAAAAAATCTCACAGCATGTGCTAAGTTTTGAAAGAGCATTGCACATAATCAAATAGCATTTGCTTTCAATGGACTCACTTACTATTCTTTAATATTAGTAAAAATAAAATCAGGGTCTGTGGTCTTGTTAAAAAGCAAAGGCATCTTTGTGGGAATCTTAGCTACCAGATACAAGTAGTAGTTTCATGGTATGTGTGCATGTGGTTGGGAGGGGGTAGCAACACTTGCCCATTTCCCTCTGAAGCTTCTAACACTTGGAAATTTGTCATAGAAGCTTTTCTCATCTGCAGTTCAAACACTTTTTCAGCAGGAATTTATCTGAAGTTGAAATCGCCATCTGGCATCTCATATTGAACGAGGTTTTTCATGTGCCAAGAACTTCTTCTCTTGGCAATGATGTTGACTGTGATCTTTTGAAAATGTTTCTTGGGTTGGCAGTCTTGACTGAACAGAGCAAGCAGCCTGTCTTGGAATTTAGGAAGAGATATGCTGAGCAAGTTTCTGCCCCAGGAAGAAAAGTGCAAGGTGAAAAGTTGAGCTTGGGTTTTGAGACCCAGGAACCATCCATATCTTTTATTATTGAGCTAAAACCAATAAAGGAGAAAATATCAGTTATTTATTAACAACAGCAAAATGTCACATAAGACCTAGGGGAGGAGTACTCCATTTAAACAAAGAAATGCTATTAAAGGCATTTTCAGGTGCAAAGTGGTATCTTCCCTGCTCTAGGGACATAAAGCTAACTAAGAAGGACTCTTTGCCTCCAAGTGATTCAGCATGCAGTGGCTGGGGAGATGCTTGGGTAGATACAACGTGCCTATCCCAAGGCATGTAACTGACACATCTGTTCCCTCCCAGATGCTTGGGGATTGCCTTTGCCATCTTTCTGTGCCCCCCACCAGCTCTGATAGGTTTTTGTTTCCAAGGATGGCCTGCACCTGTGACTCCTCTTCATCAGTTGCCCCAGGTACCATGCACTCAGGCAGAGAGCAGGAAGTGCTTAGGAGGTTAGTTCTAGCCAGTGACTCCTCAGTGCAAGAGTAAGAAAGTCCACTTCCCTCACCTTCAAGCAGGGTATGTTAATGACAGGTATTCTCTATGGAAATGGGCTGAGCTACTTCCCTGGGATTTTATCTAAATTCTCACCCTCGCTCAGTTTCTTCTTTTCCTGTCCTACTTCCCCCACTCACTTGCCAATCTCTTCTTGGAACATTTCCTTCACAAAACCCTTCCTTATGAATCTGCTCAGGATCTGCTTCTGAGAATCTGATCTAAGACAAGGGGTATATTAAGAATATAAACAAAATGTTATGAAAGCACAGGAGTGGTTAGTTCTGCTAAAAGATCAAGGAAATTTCCATAAAAGGAGAGGTATTTGAATTAGGACTTGAAGGATAATTTGGAGTTTGCCAGACAAAGGGAATTGAAGAATGTCATAAGAGGTCTGGGGAACAGCCATATATGTGCAGGAGTAGTGAAGGTGGTGGTGGGAGTGATAGATAGATGAGGCTGCTAAGGTTGGCTAAGACTGACTGAAGGAAAGTCTTGAGTGTTGTTTAAAAAGCTTGGCTTTTTAAAAACTGGCAACAGTAAGCCAATTCTGAGCAGTGGAGAAATATAACCCCTCTTTGTTTTAGAAAATAATTGGATGGAAATAAAAAAGGATAGGTTGAGGAGATCAATAACGGAAACTAGTGTTGAGGTCATCTGAATATTCTCGGGTAGGATGAAGAGGGACTGACAGGGTATTAAGGATGGATATAGAGATTGAAAATCAGAGGTGGGAAAGTAAGAGTGGTACAAAGTGGCTGAAGTGTTGGTTTGGATCAGAAAGCAAAGGATGTGACATCAACCGAAAGAGAGAATTCAGGAGGAAAGAGGCAGGTGGTATTGAAGCTAAAGGAAAAACTGAAAAAAAAAAAAAAATCCCAAATATTTCTAAGAAACTTAAATGAAATCAGAAAGTAATCTGAGAATAAAGAACAAGACAGAAAAAAAAATTAAGATATTCAGAGACTCATGAAGTTCTAGTTCAGGGTTAAACCAAAGAGACATATTTAAAATTAGGTCTTTGTAGAGGAATCAAAACAACAAAATCAGCCACAGAGACACAGATCCCTTTTAGAAATAAGATCATTTAAAATTCATATGACAATAGTGCAATGCTTCAGTTTCATTATTATTTTACTTTCTTGACTAAAACTAGAGTAGGGAGTCTATATGGTCTAAAGAGTAGATCTGATATATTAAATTTGTTTGGCTGTTCGGAACAATCTCTAGAAATAGAGTCCTATGACAATGGTGCTGAATGAAGGAAGAAAAATAGTGCTTTTAGCGTTCACAACCTATTATCTGTTTAAGTTGCTAGTGGAGGGATTGCTGAAGTAATAGTTTCATCAACTGACAGTGGCCACTTCCTGGCCCTTAATTATTGCTATTCATTTGCTTATGGCCTTGCATTGATTTTTAAAAAATAAATCAATATGTCCATGTGGGAACTGGCATCCCTGCATTGCCTTGACATTTCAAGGAGCACACTATTAGAAGGAAAAGCTCCAAGTCCAAATTACTAAAATGTTTCAGTTTGAAGAATTATCTACTTTACATAAGATACATTATTTCAAAAGTCAATTGAATTATAGACTGCAGAGAGGACTCCCTTGTTCTTAACAATGTCATATTAAACTTCCAAGTTAGAACCCTTAATATTTAGAAACTAGCACTTCTTATTCTAGGTAAGATATTGTAGGTTTCAGTAGCCACATCACCCATGGAAATGACAGTGAACAGAAAGCAGAAAATATAGGGGACCATTGAAGGAGAGCATTAATTATATTTATTTATTCCACTTCTATTCCTTCCTTCTTCTTTCCCTTATTTCCTCCACCCAGACTCTTTCTACCTCCCTGTCCCATTTTCAGGAATACTTGAGGACTCACTGTGTGCCAGGAACTGTACTAAGAGCCAGAGATACCACAATAAACAAGGGGACCACACATGATCTTAACCTTCAGAGGATTTAAGTTTATCATCTTTAATTTCAGATTCTACATGTAAAGAAAACATAACATTATTTATTGTTCACTCCTGTTCTCATTCACCTTCATATATGTTAAAAAATGTTAGGTTCACCCATTTTTTTTTGGGTAAATGTTCCAGGCATAACCCAGCTACATTGTCTGCATTTGAAATTCAACTCCCTCACTGAAGAGTGTGCATTTAGTCAAGTGATTTAACCTTTTTATACTCTGTCTCTTCATCTATTAAACATAGATAATAATAGCACATGCCTCATAGGTCAGTTGCATTATAAAAATTAATTCATTTAGAAGCACCAGTTCCATCAGCTGTCACTATTTCCTGGTCTTTAATTATTGCTGTTCATTTGCTTAGAATGGGCTATGGTGCACAGTGAATGAACAACTGATGTTACCCATTGTTATTTTTAGCATGCACAGGAATAAATAGGTGAAACAGATCATATCTTTCAAAGAACTTCCAGTCTTGCAGGTAGAGACAGATAAATAAGCAGATAAGGGCAATAAAGGGTGGATGAACTGATGAAGAAAGAATGTTTAGGCTAGAGGAGGACTCACAGAGAAGGGAGTGGCAAATTCTTTTGGTCAATTCTTTTGAGACGGATGTAATATCAATCCAGAGTAGTTTCTTATTTCCCTGACCCTTAGGTAAATGATCCTTCCCTATTAAATGCCTGTTTTGCTTGCTTTATTTGTGCATAGTTATTTCACTGTGGATAATTGCATAAGCACAAATGAAGGCTTCTCATGTAGGGACATTGTAGTCCCTCTTAATTTACACTCTGAAAAAAAAGGAGCTTACCATAATTGGTGAAATTAGGTCATATTTTCTTGATTTCTTATGTTCAGTGGCATATATATTACAGAAATCACAGTTGTTTATGCAAAGGGAAAATAGGCTTTTCCTCATTCCACAAGGAGGTCTTCCATGGGATTGAATTCTGGTCAATGGCACCTAAGGTAAGCTGGGGCTTCTGGGAAGACTTTCTAATAATATGTGGTCAATAGGAGGAAACACTGCTATTTCCCCCTAGATGCTGTAGAGCTATAAGTGATGGCTGGCACTGCTGCAGTCATTTCATGACCAAGGTGGGAGATACTGCTGATATCCTAGGGTAGAAAGGTGGAAATAAAGTGGTTCCCTGACCACTGCCTTGAGTTGCTGGATTTACTAACTTGAGCCTTGATCTTTTTTTTTTTTTTTAATATTTATTTATTTATTTATTTACACAAGAACCGGGGTATAGGTCAGATTCGCGGGAGGATGAGAGGATTCACCAGAGACAGAGTGGGGAACAGAACAGGCAGACTGATGAAATACACTGCTGAGGGGAGCAGCGGGCAAGACAGGAGAGGTCTGCCGCGCCATGTGGGACCCTCGCCGGCCAGCCGGGATTGAACTGGTGCTGCAGAGGCTGCAGACAGCTTCACAGTGTGGTGCTCAACTGCCTGAGCCACTCAGGGAGGCCCCGGGCCTTGATCTTTCTCCAGATTTCTTGTTGTGTTGGAAAATTATCCCCTAATTGTTGGGGCTGCTTTCAGATGGGTTTTCTGCTAACTTCCAGTTAACTCCCTATGGTAGCTTGTCCCCAAGTATTTGGGACAGAAAGATTGTATATGCTCTCCCTTTTAAGCCCAGATGACGGCCATGTGACTTATTTTGATCAACTGCCTATAACAGCATGATGGTCACTTGCAGGCAGAAGCTTCAAGAGCTTCCTCCACACGTGGCTAGTCATGATCCCTCCTCCATGATTGGGGAAGAATGTTGAAATGAAGCCCCCACCAGCTTGGTTCCTTTGCAAAACTAAACTAAATCAGGCTTTCTTATCTCCACCATGCTGTACTTCTAGCACAAACAAGAAACAAACATCATCATTTCAGTACCGAAATTGGTTGTTATTGTTGTTACTGCAGATAAATCTAGTCTGTTTTGACTGGTGAACATCCTAAAATCTGTGGTGACTAAAAACAATGAAGTGAAGGCAAGAGCTTCAGATGCAGAGCTCTGGGTAAACAGTTACTGGAATGAACAGGCCCCCCTCTGCCTACTTCACACACCTCCTGGCTAGTGAGGTGAGCCTTGGTAATGGTCATTTCAATGCATTATTCAGAGTAAATGAATCACAACTTATTAAGTATCTCTTTAGCACCTCTGATACCTCATCATGTTGTCCCCTATGTTTTTTTATGCAATGACCTCGGTCTGCACTCCTCGGACAACCCACCAACTGAGACACCAACCTAGGGGCTTTCGGCAATGGCTCAGTGATCACATAGCTGATGTTTATTGCACAAATATGATATGAGGGTGACATGTCAGGGATGGGACAGGGAGAATGATGATGATGACAGATCATACTCCCATAGCACTGGTTCTATACTCTGTGCCATTCTAGACACTTGATATGTAGAAACTCACGTAATTCTCACCTCATGAGCCAGGTACCATGGTTGTGATGACCATGATGTTGATGGTGATGATGAAGGAACAGGGCACAGAGAGGTTAAGTGTGTTGGTCTGAGACAAACAACTAAAATGTGGT